GCTGTCCCTGTGCTTTGTTTAGCTTAGCTTGTTCCAAGTAGGTGCTGTAGACCACTGAGCCATCTCACCAGCCCCAATCCTCCTGTTCTGTAAATTTATTTTTCTCATCCTGCCGTCGAATCCAGTGCGTAATATTGGGTGAGAGATGATGGGCGTTGTCACGAGCTGTGTATTCCAGCTGAAAATATCCCGAGGCTTTCCCAGGGTTCCTTTGAGGGCCTGAAGAGTTTGTTCTCCTAGGCTTTTCTTTCTTTGTTTTTGTTGTTGTGGTACTGGGAATTGAACTCAGGACCTCACACTTGCCAGGCAGGTGCTGTGCTCTCGAGCCATGCTCCCGGCCCTGTTCACACTTTGAGCATCTTTTTTGTGGTACTTGGGATCAAATTTAAGGCTCTTTGAATTATTATTTAGGGTCTCGCTATGTGGCTCAGGTTGTTCCTGAGGAGACTTAAGGACTATGGCCTCTACTTGGTATCTACAAATTGTGTGTGTGTGTGTGTGTGTGTGCGCGTGTGTGTGTGCATGTGTGCGTGTGTGTGCGTGTGTGTGTGTTCTACCACAGCTACTGATATACTGATAACGGGAAAGAAACTCCAGCCTGCTAGATGTCTAGTACGAGTTCATGCTCTCTAAAATTGAAGAATGAATTCTAGAAATGGAGGTTAAGAGCAGAATATATTCACTGCGGGAAGGAAAGCTTCTCTGTGAGAGACGGGAGGGGTCTCCAGTGGGTTCCGAAGACCCTGTCCTGCCAGGGATATAGCTCAGTGGCACAGCACCTGCCTGGCAAGCGGGAAGTCCTGAGTTTGATTCACGGTACCAAAATAATAGTGTCAATCCCTGATGTTTATCGTTAGGGAAAGTGTGTGTAGGTGCGTTGGAGTCATCTTTTGCACTGAGGTCCGGCCCTCAGCTGGAGGAGTCTGTCTCCCTCCAGTTGCAAGACATCCTGCCTTCCGCACTCGCCCCTTGGAGATCCTGGCCCTGTCTGACCCCAAGAATATTTCTATGGAATGGAGCAGTCTCTAACGCTACTATTTCAAACGGTTAAATTCAGTAGAAATATTCTAAGCAGCCAGGCCAGGCCGGGCCCTCCAGGGCATCGGCAGGGCGGATGGGGACACAGCACCGTGCGCCTGGAGGCTCCTCTGCTGAAGGCCAGGCCTCAGGATGAGACGGAAGGACCAGGCCGTGCGGATAAGCAATTGTGCCGCCTGGCCCAGTAAGGTCTAGAGGCACGTCATCACCCGGTGGGTGACCGGGACCTCCTGACCCATCCCTTCTGGGCAAACTCGTGTTCATTCCGTGCACACTCGGTACTCGACCTGCTGCCCCACTGGCCCAGCGTTACCTAAGTGCTGTACTTGTAACTTTTTTTTTTTTTTTTGGTCTCTCTGTGCAGTTCAGGCTGGCCTCGCACCCAGCTCATGGCCCAGGCTGGTCTCGAACGGACAGCACTCGTCCTGATGAATGCCAGGGTTTCAGGGACATGGCGCCACGCCCATCTCTTTTAACTTGCACCCTTACTGGTTGATCTTAGTTTTATCCCGTGTTGTACCCACCTTAGGTTTCCCTTTATAAAACTTCCTCTAAAAAGCAGGGCCGAAGGCAACCCACTTAGGGTCCCTTCTGTCTCCCAGGAGCTGTCTCTCCCTCAATAAAATTTCCTAAAAATAAAACAAAATTTCCTGCTTTTAATCTCCCTGTTCCTCAGACTTCCCTCGTCTATTTTGGGGAAGATGAACCCAAAATATCTGACATCTCACAGGTCAAAAGTTATAATATTTCCCTTGCAGCCTGTACAGGTCCTCTACAAGCCCACGTGAGGGGCTCAGCAGGCCTAACCAGGCTCCGGCGTATGATGGCAGTGTGCAGCCCCGGGTGTCCAGGGTGGAGGTGGGACACTGGACAAGGACGCAGGAAGCGCTGTGCTTAGGGCAGGTCCATGCCACCAAGAGGAATGGAGTTGGAGTGGCCGGAAGGCAGAAGCACTGCCTGCTGCTCCCAGATTAATCAGGCTTCCAGACTTTGAAGGCTCTGCGCCCAGCCCAACTGTCCCCGTCCTCCTGGTGTGACGGATAGGAATGATGGACAGGGTTCTGGATCCTCACAGGGGGCTCTCAACATGCACGTGTGTCCCAGAATCCACTCTGATTTTAATCACATGTGGACCGCTTCATGCATATTCATGAGCCCTTAATGAGGTGGGAGGGGCATCAGATATCAGGGCTATGCAAGGAGCAGTGGCTGTAGTGTAACTGACACAGCAAAATGGAACTTGAAGCAGTTTTCTTTGAAAACCAAGTGGCCCGAGGCCTAGTGCTTAAGCAGCTCCCCGGCTCTCTTAGGCCCAAAGCAGGTGCTGGTGCTCAATGGGAGGCTGCACCCCGTTTCTTTTCCACACCAAACAGGAAGCGAGAGCCAGCTGCCGCACATGTGCACTGTCTGGGGCCGTCCTTTGCTCCCTACTGAACAGCCCCTGTCCCTGCGAGCAGGCGGTGCAGCAAACCTTGTGGCGCACACAGCTTTACTGAGCACAAAGGGACGTCAGTGCCCTGGGCTGGGACAGGCTGCCCCTGGCCCGCTGCACCTGCAGCCCCGACGCCAGGGACACTCCCACAGCTCAGAGCTCAGGGGATCTGCCCTTCCTTCCTGGGGCCTCCCTCAGCTGCCTGTAAACTCCTTTGTTGATGAGAAAGCCCAAGAGCTGGGAGCTGCTGGGCTCCGCCTGGCCTCCTGCACCCCAGAAGCTGCTGTCCCCACATCTGGACCTTTGCTTGTCATTGGCAGGGCCACTTGGGTGAGGTAAGGACTCATTTAGGGCCACCAGGGACCATTTTAGTGTGAGAAGAGGTTTTGGATTTTAGAGGTAGAATCATTTCTAGAATAATTTCTGGCATTTGTACTGGTTTGGAGTACTCAGTTGTTTTAGTTGGCTTTGCTGTGCTTTTTCTTTCTTTCTTTTTTGGCAGAACCAGGAATTGAACGCAGGGGCTGGTGAGATGTCTCAGTGGTCTAAAGCACCTACTTAGAACAAGCTTAGCAGAGCACAGGGACCTCGGTTCAATCCCCCAGCACCACATGCCAGCCAGCCCCAGCCCCTGGTGGGCTGAGCTGGCCACACACAAACACCTACACATAAATAAATAAATAAAATTTAAAAAAAAAATAAAATAAATGTGATCTTCGGTGGTTTGAATGGATACTCTGCTGGGAAGTTGATTTCAATTCTAAAGGCCCTCTTATCATATGGAGGGTTGTCAGGAACAATAAGCCCTTGCCAAGTCAATAAATTAGCTTCATCAACCTGGATGTTACGAAAGTTTTTCATTCCACATTTGCAGATCTCTTCAAGCTCCTTCATCAGCCTCCTGCTGGCCGCCATCTTGGATCTGGTGCTGCTGCTTTCCCAGAATCTTCTTTTGTTTTTTGAGACAGGGTTTTACCATGCATTTGAGGCTGGCCTCGAATTCACAGTGATCCTCCTGCCTCAGCATCCTGAGTGCTGGGATTATAGGCATGCTCAGCAGATTAAAGAGGTCACCACACCTGACCTCTTTTTCTTCTTATAAATAGCTTTATTCTGGGATGGAGAGCTAGATTTCAGTACCATCCGGAATTACATAAGCCACTGGGACTTCAAGTCGTTTGGGGCTTCTTTGTGAGCCCCTCCAGAATTCTGGGTGTTTCTGGTTTTTTGAGGCAGGGTCTCATGTAACCCAGCCTGGCCTGGCCTCGCCTCCAACTCTTGGTGACCCTCCTGCCTCAGCCTCCCCAGATGCTGGGATTACAGGTCTGGCTAACATACTTCTCAAAACTTGTTTGCTGAAAATTGACTGTTATGGCCAACCCCCTCCATTCCCTTTTTATTTTGTTTGGGGAGGGCCCAGCTCAGCCCTCCAGGGGGCAGGGCTGGCTGGCATGTGGTGCTGGGGGATTGAACTTCGGTCCCTGTGCTTTGCTAAGCTTGTTCTAAGTAGGTGCTTTAGACCACTGAGCCATCTCAGCAGCCCCCCTCCATTCCTTAACTAGAGAAAGTTGACCACAGATGTCAGCCTTTGTGTTCCTCCTGGAGACCTTGAGCAGCAGAACCGGGGTAGTATTCCAGAGGCTGCTAAGTTAGATACAAATTAATATACTGAGAGGAGCTGGGCTCCACAGGGAGTGAGCACAATAAAGACCTGCCACGGTGCGTCTGGAGAAAGGGAGGCCCAAGGGAGAGCCCAGTGGGCACACCTCCAGGCCTCCCAGAAGCACAGGCAGTGACTCCAGATGCTACCTTAATTAGGTCCACCTGGTCCCGAGGGCTCCAGTCGCCCAGATGGGTGAGCAGAGCACCCGGCCCCACCCCTCCCCAAGACTGCCTTTATTGCTTTGTCCTTCGGTTTGCTTTTGTTCTGAGACAGGGTCTCGCATTTCAGGCTGTCCTTGAGCTCTTGGTGATCCTCTTGCCTCAGCCTCC